TTGCACACTTTTGGACAAAATTATAATACCCTCTGCAAGGGTATAACAAGAAAGGAAAGCTAACTTCGGGGGGATAGCCGAAGTTGATATACCCTTGCAGTTAAAACCGTATATATATCGCAAACATCGGATATAGTTGGCCGATCCTTATGAGAATAAAATAATATAACCCACTTTATTATAATATAAAATCTAAAAAAAAGTCCCAAACTTCTATCTTCAAAAATACCAAAGTTGGTATTTCTACCAAAAACTATTTCCGATCGTTCAGTTATATGGCAGCTATAGGATATAGTCGGCCGATCCTAATGAAATTTGGTAGGTTGGATCAACTGACCAAATATATAATCTGTACTAAGTTTCAGCTCTCTATCTTCAAAAACACGAAAGTTGGGTCATTTCCGATCGTTCAGTTATATGGCAGCTATAGGATATAGTCGGCCGATCCTTATGAAATTTGGCATTTGTTGGCCAAATTTGTCGTAATGTTTTGCCAAAAATAGCACTCATGTCAAATTTGAACTCTCTAACTTTAAAAACATTAAAGTTATACCATTTCCGATCAATCAGTTATATGGCAGCTATAGGATATAGTCGGCCGATCCGGGCCGTTCCGACTTATATACTGCGTGCAAAGGAAAGAAGGGTGTGTGCAAAGTTTCAAGACGATAGCTTCAAAACTGAGAGTCTAGTTCGCGTAGAAACAGACAGACAGACGGACAGACAGACGGACAGACGGACATGCTCATATCAACTCAGGAGGTGATCCTGATCAAGAATATATATACTTTATAGGGTCGGAGATGTCTCCTTCACTGCGTTGCACACTTTTGGACAAAATTATAATACCCTCTGCAAGGGTATAAAAATACCAAAGTTGGTATTTCTACCAAAAACCATTTCCGATCGTTCTGTTATATGGCAGCTATAAGATATAGTCGACCGATCGTTATGAAATTTGGTAAGTCGGATTAACTGACCAAAAATATAATCTGTACCAAGTTCCAGCTCTATCTTCAAAAACATGAAAGTTGGGTCATTTTCGATAGTTAATGGCATTTTGCCTTTTTCCTTCTCCGCTATTAACCGATAACAGTTCTTACATCTTTTTCTGTTCAGTCTTTGAGGTCCATCTTCTTCAAAATATGTGCGAATGGTTTTGCCGGCTTCTGTACTTTCAAATTTACGGGCACCAAAATTAGAATAGATGCTCCATGCATTTACTAACATTGTGCCACAGATTAATTCAATAATTATCTTTTTGTACCATTTAAGAGTTTTTCTGAGGCTACTGTAATAAGATGACATTTGAGCGGAAAGATCGACACCTCTTTTGGCTTTATTGTAGCTTATAATACAATCAGGCTTTTTTACTGTTTTGTGTCCTCTAGTAGTGACTTCAATTAGAGAGCACTTATGGTTCTTACAAGTTGTCAACTTCATTACTGGCCTCCTATCAGCCCATTTCATAAATTGTATCTTTTCTTTTTGTTATTATTATTATTATATCGCCTTTTCTTTGTTTTATTTTCACAATATGTGGCAAAAGTACTCTATTTGCTCGGAGCGTCCCACAAAAAAGTTTTTTTTGCCAGAGCTCTTTTACTAAGGGTACACTAGTATAATAATTGTCAGCGTACAAAATTCTTCCTTCATGTAAAAGGATGCGACTGCATTTTGGGTTTCGGCCTTTTTCCACAATAAATGTTTATTTTATAAGTATATCCTTCTGTAAGACATAGCTTATAAAGCTTTATGCCAAATTTATGACGTTTATTTGGTATATATTGCCGAAATAATAATCGACCACGCCAAGGAACATACTTTCGTCTATTGTAAGTTCTTTGCCAGATTCCGCAACTTGTTCAAAATTTATATTTATCATTCGTAATAGTGTGCTGATTTTGGATAATTGGTCACCGGAATCTACTTGCACATTATCACAAAAATGCCAATATTGCAGATTGTCAAAAAACCGATCTCGTTGCATAGCACTTTTTACACGATCATTAGAGTACATGGGATCATTTGACCAATATAAACGCATTTCGGGTAACTTCACAATACCCATTAACAACAATATACCTAAGAACACATACATTTCATCTTGAGTTACTGGTATCCATTCCTTTTTGTGTTTTCTAGAAGAATCTGATGATAGCGTTTGAGCCACACTGTGTTCATAAAATTTGTTTGTTTCTAATACCATAAGGCCAATTATATCATCACTTAGAAATAATTTATAGATCGAAAACAGATTTTCATAATCTATTTCTCCATGTACAATAAGTTCTTCATTATATTCTTTAAAAGCGCAGAATCTGTTATAACACGACTCCAATCTTGTGGTCTTCTGAATCCTCATTTTCCGACTCCGATGATGAATATATTCAACGAATTTTTCTTCGCGAATTTTGTATATAGTCATCGTCTGAACTCATAATTCCGATGGTAAATAAAAATAACGGAAAATAATCAGAAATTTTTATTAGAATACATTTTTAAAAGTGAGCGTGGTTTTCTATTTATTAAATTATTTAACACATCATAATTTCGCACAATAACTCACATTCTTCAGTCAATCCACTATTACAAAAACTAATGCGCCATAGAAAAATTCCGTCAAACGAAAAATGTCGTTTCTCGTGCACACGATGTATACAAACAAGGAAAAAATGCGCCGGGTAGAACGCGTTAAAATCTAAGCGGCTACAATTACTTACAAGAAGGTGACTTTGAAATCATTGATCATTATTGTAGTAAATGGGCAAGCGGAACGGAGCAGCATTAGGACCAGGCCATCTACTTACTACTTACTTACCTTATTACTTACTTGTTATTACTTTGTTACTAACTTTATTAGAGTAAAGAGTTAAGAAAAGAGAAGAAAAGAAATATTTTCTTATTAAGACAATAAAAGAGTTATTTTCTTCCATGGGAGGTACGGTTCAACACATACATCTCCAGAGAACGGAGTCCGATGAGAACCAGAAGGCTAGTGATGAAAAGAAACGTGTCCACCGAGAAACTAGCGTAAATAATAAAGCTAGAGGAGGGCTTCGGAAACCACGAGAGGACTTTTATCCGGTTAGTGTTGTACGACATTCGGTATACTTGTGGCCCTCTATCCCCCAAATAATCGACATACAGCGTAATCCGTGAATGCAATGAATATCGTTGGGAGTTGATTTGGGGTCCACGACAGAAAAAAGCTCCTTAGAGTTCGTGCGCACTGAGAATACCTTGACGACCCTCGGGAGCTTGAGGGGGTCGCTCCTCTTGACCCTTAAGAGGAGGGGAAGCATAAAGCCGTCTTTATGTTAATCATTGATAAGATCGGGGCGTTATGCAATACTTTCCCTTAATGTTTTGCGACTCGCTAACCGTCTTGTCCACACTGATCTTAGTTGCCCATATCGATCCTGTTTCGATATCTTTCTAGTCCGTCTAGGAATTGGGGTTCCGTTGTTGAAATATTCTTACACTGGTGGAAAAACTCCATTCCCAATGACCGCAGCTTCATAAGTCGTTGGTAGTCTGCCATTTTAGGTCCTTCACTGTCCTCGGAGTTGAATATACGTCCGTAAAAGTTTAGTTCCTTGAGCTGCTGGTAGTCGGTCAATCCTGGGACGTCCACCGCCCCCAGCAACGACCATCCTTACTACGGTCCGACCAGTCAACGTTTTTGGCTAATATGGTGGTGAACGATAGAGATTTGTAGATTTGGTGTTAGCTTATGCTTATGTTTTTAGAAGCAGAAGCTTTTAGAATTTGTGGAAACTGAAAAAGTTACCTCTCTTTTCAATCCAATACTTGTATTGCTTATCACCTGAATGCATAGAGTACTTAGCGACAAGTTATGTTTTACCCGAATATTACTATGAATGACAGATTAAGTGTATCCAGATTCTGCCCAAGCCCATATTTATGCAAAACAGAATTGAATCGCACATCCTGTAAGCTTCAGTACAATTGTCGACGCCCGCGTAATCGAATAATCTTATTTTAAAAATATTTCAGCATGAATATTCAACCACTTCAAGAAGTTTCTTGCTAACAACTGATATCAATTCTCAATAATTAGATGACTGAAAATGTTTCCACTATTACTAAGATGAGTGCAGTTATCATTTGATTTAGAAGCCTACAAAAAGTCCAATCGACTCCTAACAAGCTTACTTATGATCAAATGTATTGTCATTGTGTTTTTTATGATTTGGTTATATTTACATATACAGTTCATATAGCCAGTAACGGGTAGCTTATGGAGTCGCAGTGTTTCTGCTGGAAGGGCCGCACAAGAAGATATCTGACGGATAATCCTATTATTAAACTAAGCATAGAAATATGAATATGAGTGGAACGACTCGGCAGTTGATGTGGATAAAGAATAGAGATGATTGGAGAGATGATTCTTGCTTCTCTATGTTAAATACATTCACACGACTACAATATACCCTTGCAAATAGCGGGTATAAATAGAAAAATGTAAAACCATTCTGATTCGTCCCTGAAGTTCCTGAAGTGATGCGCAGCGAGACCAGAATTACAGTTTTGGAACAGCTACTGAAGTAGTAAAGCAGCAGTGGCTATATCGAGTCGGTGGATGATAAAGGTACATATATACATATATTTATTTAATACGGTAGAATAAGAATTTTTTTAATGGAGCAGAATAACGTCTTAATTTGACAATGGGCTACCAAAGTATTTAAACATAAATTAAGCTCCGTTTTGAAATCCGACGAACAAAACTTGTTTGATAAGGCTACGCTCTAATTTAGTTTAGAATTTCAAATTCCGAAATTAATGACATCTTGATTGATTGGGAACTGGAAAACATTCCATAAATTTACCAATTTCTTGACAAATGATTGTCATAATTCGAGTTTAACAGGATGCTAGAGGTGAATCGGATCTCAAGAAGTTAAACGGCCACATACGTGAATAAATTTAAACGCGGACCTCCGAAAGAAATAAGTATGGTAACAGCAGTAAAATTAGGTCTTGCGGGGCCCCTCATCATCGGAATAGTCCTCGGGCTCCGTACTGGGAAGAACATTGATGCCCTTTAGCTTTCGGACAAGTAGCTTGTAGACGTGACTGGATATGGAGCGCCTTAGCGAGCGGACCACCTTTATGGGATGGGCGCACAAAATGATGCCGTTGGTGAAGTGGGTCAGCCCCTCTTCCACTTGGTTCTGCCTAATCAGCGCCACGCCCGCATTCATCTGGGCGAAGAAGTACTCCTCGAGCGCTTCCTTGTTGTTGGCGCACGGCACTACCGTGGCGTTCTTCATGCGATTCTGGCGGCGGCGTTCGTGTACTCGCTTCTTGTAGTCGGGAGCCGACAGTCGCTTTCGATCAAAGTAGATGCAGTAGCCTATGAATAAGGCTACACCCATGCCGAGGGTAAGGTTGACGAAACGTGGTAGTGCCATCTCAGGATTCAAATTTGGATGCAAACGGAAATATTTGTAAAACGTTTCCTTTCTGCGTGCAGTTTATTGAAAGTGTAAAAGTTAAATGAAAAAGTCACTTGTACCCCTAGCCTTTTTCAATGAATTGTCATACCCGGCAGACCTGATGAGTCCTAAATTATAATTCAAAACGAGCACTTCCCAAACGAAGCAAAGAAACCTAACTTTGGCCACACGAAAGTAATATGCGTATCTTTACAGCTTCATGGTAGATTGTATTACTAAGATATACCACAGATTTCGCCTTTACACCGCTGAACAAACGTCAGGGTTTTAGCTATTTTCAATAGAGTTGGAACATCTGGAAACTGTAAAGATACACATATAACCTTCGTGAGGGCCCAAAGTTAGGTTTCTCAACTTGCATTTGATTTATTTTAGGAGAGACAATTAAAAGCAATTTTCAAAAAATTAAAAAAATTTGGATATAGTTAGCCGATCATTATGAGAATATTATAATATAACTTATTTGTTACAATCAAATATTAAAAAAAGTTCCAAACTTCTATTTTCAAAAAATCCAGAGTTTGTATTTTTACTTAATACCAAGTACCATTTACGATCGTTTTGTTATATGGAAGCTATAGGATATAGTCAGCCGATCCTTACGATAGATCGTATTATTTTTGCGTCGAGGAAGATGAAGATTATGTAGATTTTTGGAAATTATCTCACATTCTCGAATTTTTTCGGGAAAAAAGATGAATAGACCTGAAGTCAGTATCTCCTGCTTCTTTCCTACATAAAATTTCTGGCTCTTTCCTCTATTAAAAATCTTGCCTACATTCGCAACGCATCTTTGACCCTATAAAGTATATACATACATATACTCTATTTCAGGATCACCTCCTGAGTTATGTACCTCCTGATATATCCATGTCCGTCGGGCTCTTTCTACGCGAACTGGCCTCTCAGTTTTAAAGCTATCGACTTCCTTACTTTGCACGCAGTGTATAAGTCGGAATGGCCGGGATCGGCCGACTATATCCTATTTTTTTTTCGCGGTCTTTCAAAATTTTGGAAATGGTTTTTGCATGCTCTAATTGGCATCAGCTAGCATTCCTGTGTTCATCATAAAGCTTAGAAGCCCAGACGACCGAGGGGCTCGAGAAACGAGTCATTAAGCTATATATTAAGCGATTTGTTATTTATTAAGCTAAGAGGAGGTAGTAAGGAAATTTGGCTGGCTATCTACATCCCCATTGATTAGGTTATGTAGGAAAACTACTCCCAGCATTGTCCTGCGACTGGTTATGCTTGATAAGTTTATAAGTAAGAGTCTACAATTATAAGATAGAAGATTAAGATTTTCATCCCAGTTAAGACCTCTCGGTAAAAAGTTAAGCCAAACAAATGAATATGGCTTTATAATTTAAATTAAATATTAAAATTAATATAATTAAATTGTAGGAGTCGTTAAATTCTGTTGACCACCTTTTAATGAAACCAAGGACTCCTTTAGCCTTATTAACCATTGTGGAAATGTGGTTGGCGAATTTCAGTTTAGGGTCAAATAGGACGCCGAGATCATTAACCTGAGTTTATTTCTCTAAGGCAATCCTATAAAGAGTATGAAGTATTAAATCATTTGCTCAACACCATTTTTGAACATCTTCAAGATCAGACTGAAGACTGCATTAGGCAGAGATGAATTTGTATTGAAGAAAAAGCTTCACATCATCTGCATATGTATGCACATAAGAACTAGAGAGTTCGTTAAAGGCAAGTCATTTATAATAAATAATAACGGGCCAAGATGACTTACTTGAGGGACGCCGGATGTAGCACAGACCAAGCGGGAATGCATATTTTTTAAATGAGACTCTTCCATCTTCCATCTAAGTAGCTGGAGATCCACGTTAAGAGGTCTGTAGAGAATCCCAGCATATTCAGTTTACTCAACAAGAGTGAGTGATTTACTGAATCAACTGCTTTGCTAGAGTCTGTGTAAATAACATCGGATTGAAATCCCTTTCGAAAGCCATCTATTATAAAGGATGTCGTGGTGGTGGAGCGAAGCTTAAGGATGTAGTCTCATGTGCCGGCCTACTTTTTAGAGGTTATTTCAAAAAAATTTTTTTGTAATAAAAAATAATGCGATCGTTTCAATTTTCAAATATGTTTTTATAAGCATCATAAACTACTTCAAAATATTTTTATTTATTTAATTTATTCTTGTGTAGTTTAATACACTTTATAGCATGCCAAAGTATGCATATAAAAAAAAAAGATAGGTCCCTGGCGCAGGTGATTTCGACTGCTAGAGTCATCCGAAACAAAAAATTAGAATAGATTATTGTTTTGTAAGCTAATGGCTCTGTCCCGTACTAGAATGAAATATTTTCGTCAATAAACAACAAAATGGCGAACTCACAAAACAAAAAATTAAAAAAATGTATCTTAAATTAATGATAAAACAAGAAAGGAAAGCTAACTTCGGGCGGAGCCGAAGTTTATATACCCTTGCAGTTAAAACTGGATATATATCGCAAACATCAGATATAGTTGGCCGATCCTTATGATTACATCATAATAAAACCAATTAATTACAATAAAAAATCTAAAAAAAAGTCCCAAGCTTTTATCTTCAAAAATACGAAAGTTGATATTTCTACCAAATACCATTTCCAATCGTTCAGTTATATGGCAGCTATAGGATATAGTCGGCCGATCCTAATGAAATTTCGTAGGTCGGATTAACTGACCAAAGATATAATCTGTAGCAAATTTCAGCGTTCTATCTTCAAAAACACGAAAGTTGGGTCATTTCCGATCAATCAGTTATATGGCAGCTATACGATATAGTCGGCCGATCCTAATGAAATTTCGTAGGTCGGATTAACTGACCAAAGATATAATCTGTTGCAAATTCCAGCTTTCTATCTTCAAAAACACGAAAGTTGGGTCATTTCCGATCAATCAGTTATATGGCAGCTATTGGATATAGTCGGCCGATCCTTATGAAATTTGACATGTCGTTTTATTTTGCCAAAAATAGCTCTCATGTCAAATTTGAACTCTCTAACTCTCAAAACACCAAAGTTATACCAGTTCCGATCAATCAGTTATATGGCAGCTATAGGATATAGTCGGCCGATCCCGGCCGTTCCGACTTATATACTGCGTGCAAAGGAAAGAAGGGTGTGTGCAAAGTTTCAAGACGATAGCTTCAAAACTGAGAGACTAGTTCGCGTAGAAACGGACAGACAGACAGACGGACAGACAGACGGACAGACAGACGGACAGACGGACAGACGGACATGCTCATATCAACTCAGGAGGTGATCCTGATCAAGAATATATATACTTTATAGGGTCGGAGATGTCTCCTTCACTGCGTTGCACACTTTTGGACAAAATTATAATACCCTCTGCAAGGGTATAAAAAAACTAATCATTAAAAATAAATGATTCTAGTACGGGACAGAGGTGTTACTTTTTAGAACAACATATCCAAATTTCAGCTAGATCGGTACCATAGAATTTTGTGAATCACCTGCGCCGCACACAAAAATGTCGTTTCGAGAAAAACGCGTTTAAAGTTTAGACGCTACCGAGAAACTCATACTTTTCGGTGTAGGCGCGCTCTCGATTATGGGCTGTATCTCTGTCATTATTTGATATTTTTATTTAAAACTTTAACAGTACATTCATAATAAACAATACTATCAAAATATAAAAAAAAAAAATTGATTTTTTCAACCTCACACATGAGACTACATCCTTAATAGAGCCATGCTGACATGGAGAGTTGATCGAAGAGCAAATGTGTTGCAAATGAGGAGTAATTCATTTTTCAAATAGCTTTGGAATTGCTGACAATTTAGAGATGCCTCTGTAGTTGGCAGAATCGGACTTTTTCCCTTTTTTTTTTTTAAATCGAGGTTTCCAAAGATAAGTAGAAAAGTCTTAGAAGGGGTTTGCACAGAGCCCTGGCACAGTATTTTAGCACACAGCCTTGTACTCCGTCGGGGCCTAGCGAATATACGGGTTTGACCTTTAGAAGATAAAAAAATAAGCTAATCTCGGAGAAAAACGGTTTGCTGATTGATAAGATAAGATAAGATCTTTGCTGATAAGATTTGCTGATTGAGTGTTGCATGCGTAAGGCTGATCTGTCAATTTAGACGGAGAATAAGTTCGAAAAAATTTAAGTTTAGATCGGCCATGACCTGATCAGAGGTCGCGGATGAATTTTCAAACGTAAGCAGAGGTGGAAAAGATACTTGGATCCTTTGGATCCTGAGTAAATTGTATCCGGCAGCGGCGAATACATATATAAATATATATAAAATTTATATAAGATTCTTATGTAAAATTATATATAAAATTTGACCGAGCTAATAGATATCTTGAAAATTTATACTACTGTAGGTTTTCTTATATCTTATCAAGAGCCTATTTTTAGTATTTTTCAGGTTCGTGAGGCACCTTATAAACCAAGGAGGATTTTATTAACCCTTTCATTAACCCTCTAGTGCCCAAATTTTCTTTTACAAAAAAAAAATTATTTTTGGATTCACTATGTATCAAAAGTGAATGTTTGTTTCAGAAAAATATTTATTTTTGCTCGGATCGAGATTTAGATGACTATATCCTTGGACCGCCTCTAGGCTTTGGGAAGATATGCCAACAAAAAACGACGAAACGAGGTATTGATATTCTTTTGGGAAGCGTACAAATTTGTTTGCTCGGTGATATGTTCAATTATAGAATCATTAAAAAAAAAATTGAAAACACTTGAATGGCGATGCAGATTTTTAAGTTCTGCGAGGTCAGGCTCATTAAAGGATATTGCTGATTTATCCATGACTAGGTTCGTTTGGCGCTACAACATCTTTTTGAAAAGCGGTGCTTTTGGGTCGATACTCCAAACAGATCCACATTCAGCTATTGTGCTTTCTTTAACATGAGCAGTATTATGCTTAGCCGGCGCTTTACGTTTGCGTTTTTGTGCTTGA